CATATATATATATGTATATTTACACCTGATAAATCTGATCAATCCAGCCTCCCTCAAGGTCAAAAGAGAGCTGGAGCCGCTCTTCCTCGTCAAGAAGATGGGGTCTTCCTGGCCTGCTTCCTGTCACTGGACATTGTGGACAAAGACGCAATACTTTTTGGTGGTAGGGTGGGGTGGTGGTGGTGGTGGTGGTGGTGGTGGTGGTGGTGGTGGTGGTGGTGGTCAGTCAGTAAACAAGTAGTGCGCAAAAGAGGGCAAGTGATGAGAATGATTGAATCAAGACAGACACTTGAACTAGCTCTATGCTCAAGATCCCCACCATGCACGGTGGGTTGCAATTAAACAGCAGCTCGTTCGCAGCAGGAAGCACGAGCCGGTCATCGAGCTCCTGCCTGATTTCTGCGCGGAGTCCTAGCAAGAAGTTGTTACAAGGCTAAGAGCTTTTGTGGGCTTGGGTGTTGGGGGTACAGGCCTGCAAGCATGACCTGGAACAACAGCGTGCTGTGCACAATGTTGGCCTCGACATGGTTCCTATACCAGAGAATTTTGTCAATGATCACTGCCAGCAGGCTTCAACACATCTGAGACAGATTAGCTGCTCAACAGAGATGATGTTCATGACGGATGATCAGCATGAGCGTGGGTAATGTGATAATTACTTGTAGTCATCATGTCTACCATTGCCATCGGAACGCCCTACATGGCAGTTTCCATAAATCGGGGATCCTCAAAATAGACCCCAATATATCACGATCCTTGTTACAGGGGCTCGGCCCTCAATTTTTGGAAACCTCCATTTAACGCCTAAGGCCTAAGCGCTGAGGCCCGATCGTCTTCAATCCGGCCAACCAGATTATCCACCCGGCTCGCCACTGCGCCATCGTTTCAGCCGTTACGTAGGGTTGCATTGGGACCATATTGGGGTTTTATTGGGTTACATGGGATTATCTTGGAGCTATATTGGGGTTATACGTGGGTTATATTTTCTGCTTGATGGTTATCCTCAGCCCATACTATGGGTATTTCTCAAAATTTTGCCTAGAGAATCCTTGAAGAGAACCCTGACAATCCCCCTGTAATCCCCAAACATCCCTTGGTCCTCAGTTAAGGTGCCCCTACTTTTGAGAAACTGCCACATCGGCTGAAGATGGAGACGAATCTTATGAGCGCCAAATTTGTGAAATGCTCATCGTATATCTCTTTCTCGAATCTTAGCAAGGAGTGCCAGTAATCAACAAGAATTACCAGCCATCAATAAGGGACATCACATTTATCAATATATGGAATTCGACCATTATAAGGCAGCTAGATTTCTAAACGTAGGAAATTCGAGCTTCCGAGGGTTTCCAACCATTGGGCTCCCTTTTTGGGAGTGCCGAAAACGAGCGGCGTAGCTTGTCGGTCTATATGACGATGGCTTTTTTTGTGGGACAACTATATTCCTACCCTGAAGCTGACCCAAACCCTAAACCGTGGATCCTAAGCCCTACATATCCTCTATATAGCCCCATATATCCCCTAGGTAAAGCCCATAAGCCCGTTAAAAGCCTACCCCCAGGCTACTGGGCGATGTTCCGGAATTGGAACGGCCAGCCATTGGCCCGGGAACTCTTCCGTCCAAAAAAATATTTAGGGGAGGGTTGTGGAGTATATCGTGCTACAGTTTTATGGGAATTACTGAAGTATTGTATATTACAGTGATACGGGGAAAATCAGGCAACACAACGGAAAGTTGTGCAAGCTTCTACATCAGGCTTTTGCATCTCTGCTTTTTGGCCTGTTGTCGTGGAGGGCCCATGTACGGTTTGTGTGTGCCTTTGGCAGCTTGGCGAGGCGTTGGGCTCAGGGTTTACATGCTGTTTCAATCCAGACACTGTAAAGGGACAGTCTGTAGGGATGTTATGGGCTTCTTTGGGTTCAGATATCCAGAGACTACAGTTGTGGCTCATGTTAGCTTGTCAGAAGACATGCGGGATCATGCTTTGTCTCCTTCTGAGAGAACAAGAGCCATTGATCCTTTAAGGCCTAGGGGTGTTGCTTGTACACAAACGAGCCTTCTTTCTTGTCTTAGGCTCCATGCACTTCTCATGGAGAGCTGCACCTTGCTTCGTCTTTTGTCCCAGTTAGGCCCTAAATCCTAAATCCTGGACCTTGCCTTAAACATTAGAGCCTGGACCACATGCCGTGGAATCGCCCTAAACTCGCATGCCAAGGCCGCTTTCCAAGGACCCTGGCTTGAAATCTGCAAGCAGTTATCCCTGAGGTCCTGCCCTTATCCAGTAACAGTCTATGATGCGGGTCATCGTAAGGTCTTCATGCATTCACATTTTTGTCAAAGACACCCCCAGGTGGGTACTTACGAGGTGGGTACCCCCATGATGGGCTAAAGGTTTGGAAAAGCCTCCTTCAATCCTTCAAAGGTACTCACAGGATACCTACCCATCCCTGATTTACTGGTGTGGAGGCAGTACCGAAGTTATCCCCAAAGCCCCCTTTCCTGTTCAGGCCCCGGGGTCTAGGAAGAAAAGTTTATGAGGTACATATGAGACTGCTAAGAATCCACTGCGGGGAGTATATGGTGGCAATTGATGGCATACACCTGAGCCAAACATGGGCAACCATGACTACGGCCTTCTTGAGGTCCCAGCTTAGTTTGGGAGAGTGTATAGCACGAACAAACACAGGAATCATAAGGAGCTCCATCAGAGTTAGGTACGAGCCCTCTATTCGAGTATCTTTAACCGACATAGCTACTGCGTGATAGCATTTGGTCAGGTAACCGCCGAATGTTTACTCCAAAGCCACTCAAACCCTGAATCGAAGCGACCTTGTAACCTGGAAACCTTAGTCCTTCCCCTTGTTACTAGTGTTGCTGGTATTATTAGACGTGTAATGTTTATTATGACTATTTTAAGTACTGTTGTTGCTGTTAATTACTAGTATTACTACTACTACTACTACTACTACCACTACCATCCCTGTTGCGAGTTTTCCTTTGCACCTTGAGCGCCGTGCAGAGGTTAGCCTTTTTCTAATCTGGCTGTTGCTTCCGCGGATCATCATCCCAAATGGCTGAAAGCATGATGCCCAGTATTCCGGGCAAATTATAGCGACCTCACCGACTACCTCCTTCTCCTTGTGACATTAGAGTTCAGTCCAGAACTCTCAGTCTAGAACTCTCATACTAGTCCATGTATTCATGTTCCTGCTCCCCCTTAAACCTTAAGTAAGCTCTAGGCCTGACATCTCAGGTCCTAAATTCCAAACCCTGACACTTGCCGGGTAGTAGGACCTGGAGCCTCCCGAGTGGCTCTACAGGGATATGGCAGGGGGCCTTGGCGATTGGGATTCTCGAGACTGAGTGTTTGCGTAGGGTCTTAGAGTTTGGTGTTTACGGTTTAGAGTTTACGGTACTGGGGTGTGATTACTAAAGATTTCAGAAACGCACATCCAATACGAATGGATGGCGGAGTGGGACTTGGGTTCAGGGCCGAGACGGACTTCAAAGATCTAGCACGAGAGGGTGGAGGTTCTGAGTTTCTGGAGCTCTTTGATAATGTAGACGCGTGATTAATAAACCCTTCCTTCTAAGGGCCTTTCTGTAGGGATCCTTATTGTAATCCCTATTGAGGGGAGGGGGTTGAATAATCAGGGGTCTGGGTTACCCTATATCAGCTGGGCTTGTGCTTGCGGACAAGGCCAGGGCTTGGCAACCCCCCAATGTGCAGCTTCTGCTGCAGCTGCAGGCTTTCAGGATCCGTGCGGCCTCAGCGGAGAAAACAAGCAGAATCAGTTTCATTGATCCATTAGTGTGCTCGTGACATTTAGTTGTTTCCATCTTCTTTTTTTAGATTTTTGAATCCCATAGTTTCTATTTTCCTTCTCGTGATAACCCCCCTTATATTCAATGGATTGTATAGACTGTCCTAAACTCTCAGGATGAGACAGCGGGTCAAGTGCTGGAAGTGCTGGATGAGGCCATATGAGCTATAGTCTAAACTCCTAAAAGGGGTTATATAGGGGATTACATAAGGGACTACTACAGGGGATATTTAGAGGGATACTAGGAGTTTAGACAATGGCTCATATTGCAGGGCTTGGGGTTCAGGATCGCTGAGGCCAGGCAGCGAGCGGCAAGAACTTCCTTGTGCATAAAAGCAGAAAATGGAAACTACTATATATTGGGGTAAAATTGGGATAAATGGAAAAATGGAAACTACTATAAATTGGGGTAAAATTGGGATAAATGGAAACTACCCTTTATTGGGGAAATATTGTGATAATGGAAAAAGTGAAGCTACTATAGTAAATTGGGAATGTCAGCCTAATCATATAGTAGTGGGGCAATCCTTGTGGTGCATCGGGCTCTTGCAAGTTCCTTCGGAGAAAAGCCTTGACCCTACACCCTGACCCGAAAAGGCTCCAACTCCCCAAAAGCATGAACCCTTACAAAGATCCCTAAACCCTAAACCCTAATCCCCTAAACCAAACCCACATCTGCCAGGAGTTGCAGCACTTGAAGAATGCCTACTTCCAGGCCACTGGCGCACAGGGATGCAGGAGCCTTGGAGTCTGGCATTTTGGCAGCCTTGGGACCTCCATGTCTCTGGGGGGATGTTGAAGTTTGGGGAGTTTTTTCAGGCTGTTAAATTTGGGGCCTGTTTCCTTGATTTAGATGTGCGGGGCTAGTGGTTCTGAGTCAGCTTCTGGGCATAGTGGCACCGGGCCAAGTGGGTAGTTCCCAATATTATGGTACCCGTGAATATTAGCTGCCGTAATATAATCAAAAAGGGCCCATTTAATTTTGGGAACAACCCCTAAAACCTTAAACCCAAAACCCTAAACCTTAAACCAAGTGCAGTAGACCCAGCACGCTGCAGGCCTTCCGTACTGATCTAGCTGATCTTCTGCTCTCCAGTGCCTATGTCTTGCAGCGTATACAAATGGTAATAATGTAGGCGTTATATATGCATATGTATGGAGGTTGGCAAGCTGGGACTGAGGAACAAATGGTTTTCACGTTTAACATCACCATGCATGCACGTGCGCTTTTTCCGGATGTCCATGGGCTCAGATTACAAAGTTATTGCCGAAATTGAGAAACATCCCCACATGTAGAATCCCGAAATGATGCCCATGATTCCCCATAGAATTCTCGCTGCCCCAAGCAAAGTGAAGCTTGTAACGAAGACGTCTGAATACTTACTGGGCCAGATGCAGGTTTTTCTGGCATGGCCCTCACATAGTGACAGCAGACCATACCCGATAGCGTCCCCAATCATTAAAGTTTCCCTTTCATATCCATTACATTATCACTTCGTTGCTCTTTCTGATTTTGGGACCCTACATCCTAAACTCCAAGCCCTGAACCTTCAATCCTAATTCCTATACCTTTATCCCGCAATCCCAAACTCTAAGCCTGAAATCCAAAACTGTGTGATGAAAACCCAAGTTCCAATAGCGTCTCTTATAGTTGCAGTGGGGGGCAGCATTCATGTTTCGTGTTTTACACCCGCCTAGATCCCAAATGCTACATAGGCGACCATGTGATCCCCCTGGCTTCCCGTCTGCTGGAGCAGTATGGCGATCAGATCGCCGACAAGCCCCACTCTTGGCATCCGGAGTCTTATGGTGGACTTGGGGTCTTGGAATTGATAGTAATAGTAATAATTATAGTAGTAGTAATAAGAATAGTACGATAATAGTAATAAGAGTCATTCCATATTGATATGATGGAGTTTGCGGATGTTGCAGAAGCCATGGCTTTTCATGATTGTCAGTTTGCCAACACAAATTTCTTTGCTTGTGCTGATGGCCTTCTTGCAAGGATCGCTGCCGCACTTTGAGAATTTACAGTTTAGACGAGCAGGTTTTTAGCGCACGGAAATCTGGCCACGATGAGAGTGTGCAAAAAGGGGCTTTCAAATTTAGCGTTTCATTGGCACGACAAGACTGGGTGTATCACAATACAAGTTCCTGCAAAATATATTGGGACCATAATCGCAATCGATCTGTGAAGGTGCTGGGGTTCAGCCGACCATGCGCTTGAGGTCCACCATGGCAAAGATGGTTGGCACCAATAAAGCCTACTCCATGGCGAGGCGTCCAGCAAGGTCTAGGGTCTAGTGTCTAGGGTCTAGGGCTCAGGGTCAGGGTTCACCAAAGACCAATCATTGCAGCAATAGTGAAAATCGTTCGCAATCATAGTAGCAATCAATGACTGCAAGAATGTGCTGTCCTCTGAACTTTGTGGCGCATCTTCAGATCTTGCCCCTGGTGCGTGGCAGAGAATTAGGGAAGGCATGTCTTCGGTAATCCTTTTACAATCCACAAAAGTATTTCTCAGGCCTTCACCCGCAGGGTTCTTAGAATCCCTGTCCCGATCACTACGGAGCACATGGAAGTGTTTGTCAGGACGCCGGTTCTTCGGTCGCCCCAGGGTGCAGCTTTGCTGAAATGTGACCTCTGCGGCGCCGTCGCAGTTGATCTTTAATTCTGGCTATACCTGTACATTCCGTAGACTTAACGCCATGATAAAGATACTTTTCAGAGGTCCCTTCATCTATCCAGTAGGTGTGAGGAGAGTGATGAAGCAGAACACCCATAAATGCACTATGGATCACTTCTCATAAACATAGCTGTATGAGGAAGGATGGACAGGTCGCTTAAGATTTAACGCTGAAGCACGCCCCCAGGTGATGCCACATCCGACGCACCGGGTCGTCACAGATGACATTGGGTGGGGTTTGTGTGCTGGAGGCTAAGCAGGCTATGCCCCATGGTTATGCTTGTTTCATTAGCGTAGTCAACTGACATGATCTCCTGGCAAACAAGCAGTCGCAACAGCTTCATTTTCAGCCCGCCGGCCAACTTCTGCCATTCATCCAGCTTGGACACAAGGTCTTGGTGTCTATCGCCGAGCGCCTCCAGTGCGAAGCTCAGAGTCCAGCTTAAAACCCAAGGGTCGCAGGTGAATTCCCGCAGGCGAACGAGGAACCTGAACTTGATGATGTGCCGAAACATTTCTCGATTGTCTGAGAAAAGGTTACATCCACGGGCTGTTTTTTTAAGGCACCTAAGTTGGCAACTAGCCAGCTGTTGCCAGCAAGTCACTCTTCTGTTAAGTCGCAGGGGCCTAAGCGTTGCCAAGCTGCTGAGCGCATCACCTACAGAATTATGAGAATAACATGGACTTTTCCTCCTCATATCGTGGTATTCCTATCGTGCTGGTTCTGCTGTCATCGCCACCGCCACCGCCACCGCC